GGAGAGCCCCGGCCCCGGCCACCGCCCTCCCAGCCCCTCTCCCCCGCCTCCACACGCAGAGCCGCACGGAGCTAATTCCACTTCTCCAGGCCCAGGCATGAGGCCTCCGTCGCAAGCTGTGAGCCCGGAGCCCAGCTGAGTGGCGAGAGGCTGCAAGCTTTCAGCCTATAATAGAGTTGCTGAGACAAGCGGAAAACTGCAGCCGAGTAAACAGATAAATAATTGAAACAGTGACAACACATACCTTGCTGCTTTGTGGAGTAACACTTTCATTAGCGGGAGGCAGGCCGGGGATGCGGGCGGCGGGGGTGCGGTGGCAGCAGCTGGGAGCCAGGGACACTAGGGTCTTGCTTTGAATCAGCTGTGAGCAGCTGGGCACCTGAGCAGCTCCGCCCTCCGCCTCCTGGGTCCCCTGGCTTCTCCAGGCTTCGTGTTCCCAGGTGAAATGGGGGGACCTCCTGGCCTGTCCCAAAGGCAGCCAGGGGAGAGCGAGTCCATCACGCTGCCCCTTCTCTCCATCCCCCATGCCAGTAGACTGGGTTCTCAGCCTTCTCCCGGGTCCCCGGGCTCCAACGTGCCCCTTGAACCAGTCCTCACCCGCCACTCAGGCCAGAGGGCAAATCTGAAACCCTGCGGCCCCGTTGCCCCTGCCCCCACCCCAGGAAGCTGGGCTCCTTTGCCTCCATGATCGGGCACACAGTTCTCTCCCCAGGGCCTCCTCATGCCACGACTTGCTGCCCTGGCACCCTGAACAGTCTACTTTCACTGTTATTTCCTGCCCCAGGACCTTTGCTCCTGCTGTCCACTCTGCCTGGAAGCACTCGCACCATTTGCCAGGCTGTCTCCTACTCTTCCTTCAGAAGATAACTTAAATCTCTTGCTCCAAAAAGCCCACTCTGATGACCCTATTCCCAGGATGGGGGCTGCCCTCCTCTGGGCTCCCCTGCCATTCTGGGCCCACCCCTGGCAGGATTCATCAGGAGCTATTGCAATGTAGCTGGTTTGTGTCCCCCATGAGATCTTCGCTCCAGGGGCTGCCCTTGGCGCCCAGTCCCCCTTCTCCTTCTGTCCTGCCCAGCCCCCACTCCCCACCCCCGGTCCTGTCTCTTCTCAGGCGGGGATGGCGTTGGGATCAAGCTGTGACTCTGTAGCTGACTCTGCAGAACACATCTGCACGCGCTGGCTGGGTGTGCAGCTCTGTGTGCAAGGCTGACCAGGGGGCCGCAGAAGTGGAGCCCCTGGCGTGGTGGAAAGAGGGCGAGAGAAGGGCCAGCTCTGCTGCTTCTCAGCTGTAGGACCTCCGGAAGCTGCTGCACTGCAGAGCCTCAGTCTGCACATCAATAAAATGGGGATGACCTGGATGGTTCCAGTGACAGCTGCAACGGGAACCCAGGGCGGTGGGCTCCCTGGCTTCTGCATCTCCCCAGTGCCAGAGCCCACCGCTGCTGGAGGAAAGGGTGGCCAGTGCTGGCTGCACACTCACCTGTGGCTGCCTCTGTGCTCCGTTGCAGGTGATGGATGGGGGCCCCAGCAAGC